CAGGTTTGATAAACAATATGACATAAATTATTGAGTGCAATTTTGAATTAATGATGTAATTAATGACTGGCACAAAGCCATATATTCACTGTATTTAATATACAGACCAATTAATGACCAAATTTGGTTTCAGATCTTAGGTGTCAAAGATACAGTCCACCATTGGGAAATAGTGCCTGTGATTCTTGCTTGGCAAAGAACCCAGAATATTCAGTAACTATGTAAATGGAACCTGTGTTCCGTCCCACGGCATTTTTAACATCATACCAACTGTTAGGATTTTGGTTCAGAAAACATGATCATTAAAAGCTTGGGTTTCTGACTGTCCACCTGTTAACCAGGATATCCTGGTTACTTTCGTGTAAAAGAAGGTGCAGAAAAGGGTTGTCACTTGTGTCAGCATCATCTTTTCAGCTGTCACCATCCTTCCACATAAAGGGGAATCATATGGAAATCTGGGGGAGTCTTGTCTTCTCTTAGAGAGCCCTGAGCAAAAAGTAGGTCATCTAATATTCTTTTCAACACTGGTATGTTTCATTGACACAACTTGGGGAGGCCATTCCCAGTAGACAGGCCTGCTAGCCAGCTCTGACACTAAGAGCATCTTTAAGGTCCTGTGAGAGTGAACCAGCAGGCCTGAAACTGCTATCTTTAGAAAGGCTTGCTTGGGAGGTTATGCCCCTGACTGACATCTGGGACCCTGACTTCTCTCCATTTCCTCATTAGTAGCTATCACTCACCTTGACTCTGTGCAAACAATATAGTTTATGCTGAACACCTGGTGAGTTCTGTGAGTCTGGAGTTCTCATACTGGCTGGGTAGCGGGTGCCTATGTGACCAGCCCCAGTAAAACTCTTGGGTGCCAAGTATCTGGTGGGACTCTTAGGGCAGAATTACTGCACATGGCACTACATATTTTTGTGTGTGTGTGGCTAGCAAAAAGCACAGAGAAATGTTCTCCTTCATGGGAGAAAGGCAGCAGTAAGTTCCTGTGGGTGGATTTCTTCAGACTCTGCCAGTATCTTTTTCCCAGGCTGACTGTACTGTGTATCTTTTTACCATAATAAAACTTAGCTGTAAAGCAACTGCATTCCAAGTCCTATGACGGCTTGAATCATGAAACGTTTGCTTGTTTGGGCGGACCTTCTAACAGTGATCATAAATTCTACACAGAAGCAGATAGCCTTCAGAGTTTAATTGGGTTCTATTCATTCATTTCGTACAGAGGAGAACTTGTTAGTTATTTTGAGTTAATTTGAAAATGTTATTTTTTTATAACATGGAAAAATCACATAAATAATAGAAAATATCTTAGAGCAAACCATGTTCTTAAATGGTTTTGAAATTTTTTTCAGTGCTTATCAATGCATACGTTTTCATACAGTTAAATATTTATACTTTGTACCTATTTTTGATTTATCCTTATGATAAGCATAAATGCTACTATAAGCATCTGCTGAGTTTAAAACAAGGCAAATTATACACATAAAGATAGGGACAGTGAAATGCCACAAGTTCACGAATTATGTTGATACATGGAAATAATTATAAATCAAATACTAAGTGAAAATATTAAGAAAATATAAATATTGAATATAGCTAAGGAAATTGTATCATACGCTCATAACTAACTTAATAATATACTGTCTACAGATTATTTCTTTGATCTTCAAAATAAACTTATAAGGTATGTATGTTATTCTGATTTTATACATGAGGAAAGAAAGAAATGTTTTGAAAAATAAATGCCTTATTGCAAGGAAATACATTGGCTTATGATTCTAAATTTGGTGCTCATTAGTCATCACAATTACCTCTAAGAAAAGCCATAAAATTTAGAAAGGAGTTAAATGTGCTATAAAACAGTTAAGTATTCACTAGGTCCTTATTTTTTCCTTTAAGTTGCTAATATTCACAACAGTGATAATTTTTAAAAGAGTTTGGTACACTCCCAAACTTTTAATAGAATGTAATCTTTCCTAAGAGTATAAAATGAATTATGAGCATAAGAGGTTTATTAAGGAAAGCTAAATTGATGAAGATTAGGGAAATGGCTGAAATCAAGTCACTGATTTCAGGAACCGATGCGCGCATGCTCAGTAGCGGGGCTGCCGACACTCTGCAGAGGCAGGATTCAGCTGCTCCGGGAGGGCAGGCGGCCAAGCTCTCCCTGCAGGGAGAAGTCTGCCAATTGCTGTACAAACAAATCTTCAAAGATGAAATAAAAACCTCTTGGTGTCTATTAGAATATTGTTTAAAGACAAATCAAATATTTGGCAATTGAACCAGAATAGCTTATTAGCAACGGTCCACTAGGAATCAGAATTAGCATAATTAAATGGCCCCAAACGAAGTGACAAGGTGAATGCTCTAAATTTTGCCATCCTTCTACTTTCGTGAAAAGACGTGACAGTGACTTTCCAGAGCTACCCACTGACCGCACCACAGGGAGGCCGACCTGAAAAGCAGCACCTTGAGTTCGGCTTAGTGCAGAAACAAATCGTCAGTATCTGGATCTTCCAGAAAGGAAACTTCTAGGAATATCAACTCTGGTCATATGGAATATTCAGATGTGGCCAGACTCTGAGGAACACGTGACACACGGAACAGTAACCGAAAGAAGAGAAAGGCCAAGGACATTTTCAACAATCTCTTTGAGGATAGTGGTTGAGAAGGGAACCCGGAGTCCAGGGAACCAGGAGCCAGGCTCTATCACTTCACTAATGAACTTAGGCAGGGTCCTTTAACTAATATCTCGGAGAATTATTTTACTCATCTTCAAAACGAGAATAATAATATCTCATAGCTGTTGTTTGATGAAGTAATGAATATTGTAGAATTTGTACAGTATCTGAGACATAATAAATGTTACTAAGTAGCTTCTAATATCATATTATGATATGAATATTATCAGGCTTCAAAGTTATTGGTCTTTAAGATTATAATTTAAAACAATATTTATATCGTTTTTCTTTGTACAAACTGCCCTTATTTTGAAATGAGAGTAGCTACAATCTGAATACCAAGACTGAGCTTCATAGATGATGATAAATTATCACCTGGTTTAGTTGTGAAAGAGAGCCATGTGGCTTTATGGTATTTATCATGTATTATCAAAAGAAACAGCTAAACTCAGGCAAGATGCCAGTGTGTCCCACTCCTGGTGTAAAACAGGGTACCAAAAGAAATAGTTTACTCCGAAATTGTGTTATTCTCACAGGAGAACTTAGCCTAAGTTCACCTTGCAGAGACCTACCTGTTCAGTTGCCCAATGAATGCCATTTAAAGGGAGGGTCCCCCCACACTATATTGCTGGGACGTGCATAGAATGATATCTGTCTTGTACACAGAATCAGGTCAATATGTATGTAACATCTAGACATTGTTATGGGTATCTTTACTGAACATAATAAATAACTTTTGAATAATTATTCATTTTGGTAGATAAGCATATACAAATTCTACTCACCATAAATAAAGAAATATCAAGCAATTTTATCAAAGCATCATGGTAAAAAAGAGAATCATAATTGAGACCTTTTCTATTCTTAGCCCATTAAACACAACATTGAGTCAATCACAAGAGATATCTAAATATAATTTTTATAAGGTCCTAGTAAACATTCTTTATCCTCTCAAAGCTTATAACTTCTTAGGTGTTATGAATTTTTTTTACCTCAATTACTTTTGAAGCTATTTAAACTTTATACTCCCCTGAATAGTTACATGTATTATAAATATTTTTTGGTTCAGAAAGAGAAATGATAAAGCATTCAGTGTATGCACACACAGTGGAGAGTTTAATGCACCTCATGTTGAAGTTCAAGGATGAAATTTATATAAAGATCTAGAATTGAAATAGTATGGAAAAAGAACAACAGATTATTTTTCTTAAAATTGTTATAAGAACATCTTGCATTGAGATACTACCTTTCTCTGGGAAATACATAAGTACAAATAGTTTGTTCTGTGTTTCCACACAGGTAAAATCAGTCATCCTAGGTCAGACCAATTTGGAGGAGTCATAAACATTCTCACGTAAATAATGGAGGAAATTCAACTCTATTATTCTGCGATTTTTAATATTACTAAAATACTCAGAGATGAAATGTGAGGAGTCATATTATGTCAGGATAATGGTCATCCTCTTATAATTAAAAAGTAATAAGATAACAAAATTTATAAAAATAGGCATCTAGTTTAACAGAGACCCAAACAAAAATTGATGTTCCTTAGATCATTGCTCTGTCCACTGCTCCCCTGTCTCTGTTGATTGTACCTTCCCACTTCTACAGCTCTCTGCTATTTCAACTCTCTCTTCTGAAGACCTTACTCTTACTGCTCTTGCCAACATTCATTCAATAATGTCCTAATTGGCATCCTAATACCATTTCCTGCAATCCTGCCACACACTACTGCCAGCTTCACGCTTCTGAGCCTGAGTGCTTACCACAACCCACCGCTACAAATTTTCACAGACATCCTATTCTTTGTAAAATTGTCTCTAAGTGCCTTAACTTGCATTGGCAATCGTGATCTTCTGTGATCTACTCAAATCTAATTCCTGGACATGCATTGTGAGACAGTCACTCAAGAAATACTGAGCTCTGAGTGCACACCAGGCATTGTGCCAACATGCCAAAATCAATGCGTCTAGTCTTATTTGCAAAGGGTCTCACTGTCTAATAATTTTCTTTAATAACTTATGCAAAAAAAATTGTTACATAGGATTAAACTTGATTGTTTTATAGCAGTCTAGTCAGAAAACATTAAACAAACCCCATATAGCCAAATATTTATACCAGACACGCTTGTTTTGGATTGATACCAATCCAAATGACCAGAAGTTAGAATCAGATTCAAATGTTTTCAATGATCTTTGCATTACTTGACTCTCTTCCCAGGCTCACAGATGCACCTTTTATATTTCATGGTCTTGCTAAATCATACAGCTCTACTAAATATTAGATATTAAAAGTTATTTTTCAGGGACAGCTTACCAGGATAGATAACGTTGTCTGTGTTCCTTTGAGTTCGGCCTATCAGAATGGTGGTGAGATTCACTGTTGGTTTCTTGAGTGCATTAGGTTTCTTTAGCACTGATTTTACTTGCTTCTGAGACTTGATAACATTTGCCAGATTACCAGATAACGATCGGTCTATATACCAAGTTAAATTAGATAGGACAGCTTGAGTTTTTATTTCAATTATTGGTTCTACAAATTCTGTCAGCCCTTTCTGAAGAAGCAGAATATCTGGCAAGGAACCCTTTACCCACTTAGGTATGGTAGCATTCAGTTCTGAAATGCTTGCGGAAGCATTATGACACGTTGCTAAAACTTCATAGAGAGTTTTGTTAAGCGAAGAGAAATTAATTGAAAGATAGATGGATTTCGCTTCCAATGCCTTAAACCTGGAATTTAACACCTGCAGTTGAAGAGCCTGATTTCTCTCATTTGTAGCAGCATCATCTTTTTTATCTTTTTTAAGTGAAATATAATAAGGTATGAGTGTCTGGGTCACTTTAGACTCAATGCCTTGCAACCGAGTCTCAAACTTTTTAGAAATCTCACTGGCTGAGAGTATCTTTTCCTCCAAACGACTGATATTTTGCTGGTATTTTCTCACTTGAGAAGTGGTTTCATTGAACGTTTGATAAATCTTTTGAAAGTTGGACTGACTCAGTTTCCCATCTTTAGGAATATCTGCCAGAGCCCTGGCAACTTGCAAAACAAAGTTATATCTCTGATTATCATTGACTAAAATCTGAATAGACTCATTCAAATGCTGGAATTGAGAAATAAATGTCAAAATAGTTTCCATATCTTTGGTACATTTTTGATGGGCTTCGGGAGTATACTTAATAGAATTTATAGTCTCTTTTAGCACATAGTTATCTTGAATGAAATCAATTGCATTATTTATAATTGTCATTGTCTTATTAAGGCCGTCTTCCATTTCTAAGGCATTCTCATTGATACGTCTTTCTAAGACCTCACCATGACTCTGAACTTCATTTTTAAGTAGGTTGTGTCTCTTTGTAAGTTCTCTAATGAGGAAATTTAGACTATTGACAGCAATCGTCAGAGTTTCCAACTTTTTCCTTGTAACTGCTTCTTCTTTGGATTGTGCGTGTGTTGTTATCTGTCTCAGGGATGCTCCCTGCTCAAGCAGGGGCTGAAGAATCTCCATATCATAAGTCAAATCATTTAGCTGCTCACTCATTTTATCCATCTTATTGTCCATTGGAAAGAGAATCTCAGCTAGCGTCTGATTTAGCACATGCACATTCTCTTCTGTGTCCTTGAGTTGAAATTTGAAATCATTTCTGCACTTCGATAGCATGGCTTCACATTCATCTCTGACTGATTCTTTCTCCACGTCCAAAGCCACGGTGAGATTGTTAATCTTACTGTCTTGGACGTGCAAATCATCAATCATCTGCAGCAGCATCACGCCCTGCTTCCTCATGTTCTCTTGGAGAGTGGACAGGTACTCAGTGACGTTATTGGCAGCTGATGGGACGGCGGGAACATTCTTTTGTCCTGTTACTTTTTCGGTTGACAAAAGCCGCTCGTGTACTTCCCTCATTTTAGAAAGGGTCCTATTGAAGGATTCGTAATACAGAAGGTTTCTCGTGCGTTCCTGCTGTAAAGCACTTTCTAGATGAGACTGCTTCTCCTCCAGTTCTTTCACCGGCTTCTCACACGTCACAGTCATTTCTTGCCTTATATTCACGATGTCATCCCTTAGCTCTACTAAATCAGTCAAGGTGGGCCTCTTTTCTTGCATTAAGACAGATGTTCGCTGGACTGCGATTGAAACCACAGATTCATTGACTGTTTGAATTATTTGCCTGGTGTTTTCGAGGTCCTGTGATAGACTTGACACAGTCTTGAAGAGCTGTGCGACAGTCTCTTGCATGTCACTTTGAAATATTTTAAATTGTTCTCTTACTATGTCCTTCACCAGCTCATTAATGCTTTTGGATTTTAGACCTAGAGAAAGAAACAATTAATAATAATAAATGACACATGCTTTTAAATAAGGCTTTAGACACCCCTGAAAAGATAAAAAAGAAATTGAGTCTAAACACCAAGAACATGGAACAATGAAATTACTAATTGAACGTATTTACTTAGGAATCTTTTAAAAATTGCTATAATTTATGAATGGTGATTCATTCTTTAAATAAGAAGTCTGAGAGGGAAAGTCACTTGTGGACAATAGTAGAATATATTAGAATGATAACAGTAAGGCTCTCTGGACATAAGATATGAAGGAATTACAATTGACTTTAGTTACAGAGCCTTGTATGCAATGATTCTAGGTCTAATCTTAGTCTCACATGAAAATAAGTGACCTCGGCCTTTGTACCTTAGTAAATAATACCTAATGTTAGCTCATAACTGTGTTATTAGGTTTGTACTAATTAGGTTCCAGAGCTTATGTTTTGAGCTTATAAAGGCTAATTAATTGCAAAAAAAATCCTTAATGAGATTCTCAAATGGGGAAAAATGAAGTAATATTCATAAGATTTAGACATGGTTTACAATAACAGTAAAATAATAATGAGACGTTTGAGGAGCGCAAAACTGACTCAACCTCAAATGAAAATATAAATTCAAGACACACTTGATTATGATGTTAATTTTTAGCAGAAAGGGACAAGGACATACTAGCTATTGATGATACACATATTCGTACCTCCAATATTACAAAGCAAAGACTAATCTTAAGCCCTGGCTAGGGTAGGCATAAAAATGTAGTAATAAAAAAGAAAAAGAAAAAAGGTACCAAATTATTCTGAACTACCATATTTAGGATAGAAAAGTGAGTATTTAAAAATAATAGGAAAGAAACATGCTGCATACAAAGTCAGAAAACAGGGAAAAATAAGACACACGATTTTAAGATGTATGTTTTTATAGTACCTAGCTATGAAGCGTACATGAAAGGAAAACATGTCCATTCAAATTCAAAATACAGGCGACGACCACAATGTAACCGACAGGCAACATAATTAATGCAAAGCATTTTAAACAGGAACATCTGTACAGTAACATATTGCCGAATGAGTTATGGCCACTAGCCTATTCAAGAAAGATTGTTATACGATAAAAATGAATATAGGCACGACACAACTCTACTGTGTAAGCAAGTCTTTAAAAGTCTTGAACATGCATGAGGGACTTACATAAAAATTATTGTGAAAGAGCAATTACAAAAAATAGTAGGATGCACTGCTTGAGCATCTTGATTTTAATTCATCGGGCACAAGGACAAAGCCACAAATGGGATGTTTTTTGATGAATAAACATTTCCCTGGAAATCCCACACCCTAAAGAACCATGGTGCCAAATGAAGAAAGGGAAAGAAAGTTTATTTTATTTTTTCTAAATACAGTAGAAACTTAAATACATTTAAAAGTAAAGACAAAAGATCAATTTTTATGTAACAGGAAAAAATGCAAAGTATGGAATAGTAATTAATGGCACATAGCACCAAAGGACTAAGGAAAGGCGAAATGAACTAGAAAAGACTAAATAGCCGTAATTAAGAGTAATAACATAGAAATTGCCTTTGCTTTTTCATCAATGAAATTCTGCTTGTAAAAACAGAATATGTTAGCTTCAGTCATAATAAGAACTTGCTCAGCAGAAAACTTACTTGTATTATTGTTTCTATAGATCACTGAGTAATTTCTCTTTAGTTAAAATTGTCTTTAATTCTCATAACATCAAAAACTTGATTAAATACAGTAAAATATTTAGGGCTGTGAATAAGACCTTTGAGTTATAACTTTATAATTTTGACATGAAGATGTTCTCTAAACTTAAAAAAGGTAAAATAAAACTCAAGCTTCATTGACTTAATTGTAGACAATGACTATAGGTGTTTAACTTCAACAACAACAAAAACACTGCATGACCTGAAAGTCAGAATAAGCATGACAATAGGTTAAAACATGGCAGATACTGCCTAGTCAGTACAGAATCTCTGTCAACCTAATCAGATAAAAAAAAAAAAAAAAAAACAATGGATATGAAAAATATGAGATCCTTGAGCTGTTATGATTTAAATCCTGTAAGGAAAAAGAAATTAAAGAAAGGGCTAAATCACAGCAGTTTCTGTGGATTACTAGTTTAAAAACATTTTTGAGGGCCATGTGTGGTGGCTCATGCCTATAATCCTAGTTCTCAGGGAGGCTGAGGCAGAGGATCGCTTGAGCTCAGGGATTCAAGACCAGCCTGAGCAAGAGTGAGACTCCATCTCTAAAAGTAGCCAGCGTTGTTGCAGGCACCTGTGGTCCCAGACACTCAGGAGGCTGAGGCAAGAGAATCACTTGAGCCCGAGAGTTTGAGGTTGCTATGAGCTGTGAGGCACTCTATCAAAGAGATCAAAGTGAGTTTCTGTCTCAAAAAAAAATTTGGGGGGGGATAAGGAATTATTCAAATAACATTTTATAGCCTGTTGCTAAAGAAGCATTTGTGTAAGAATATACTTTTTCAAAATATGTCTAAGTGCTTTTTGTTAACATCTGAGTGAGTTTATCATATTGGTCCCACCTGGTTCTGTGGCACATGTCTATCTGCTTCTACTTTCTTTAAAAAATGAGACTGTATTGGAGGCTTAAGGAAGGTATTTGCTATCAGAGACCTTGGCATGCCCCTTCTCTGACTGTCAATGTATGGCCTTTCCATAACATTCAGGTACCTCTTAAGGAGTTGAGAGATATAAGTTTCCACAGCTTCTGTGGCTCCTGGCAGATTAAGCAGTGTTTTATACCTCAGATGGAAACTCTGGAAGGAAGGTATGATGCTATGAGGCGGGCACAGAACTCTGGGAGTGGGTTTAGTTTCTGTTTCCTGTAAGAATATTCACCAACTACAAAGCCTCTGGTTCTCATAATTAAGGATCATGCTCAGTACACAATTAATCCCTCCTATCAAGGAGGGAATTTCATTATTGTTGCTGTTTCTGTGAGTGTGTATTTTCTCCTGTATTAATGCTAGAATTTTTGTTAGGAGGTAAGTAAGTCACAAAAAAGCAAATTATAGGCCTAATTCTCTCAGGTCAAATTGTGCTGAACAAATTTCATCCAGACAGTCATAGTCAACTATATGCTGTTTTTATTGGACTTCTTCATTATTCACTTCTGAGAAAAAAATGTTTCTCACTCATATCTGAAACTGGTAAGTTTGGGCCATTCCAAACCTATAGGACAGGGTCTGTTTTTCGGTGACTGAAAAGCAACAATTATTTACATGTGTCACGGTTTCTGTTGAGCAGCTACATAGGTATCTGTGCTGGTAGATGACATGTCACATGTCCAGCTATTTATCTTTTTATTCTGAGAAGCACAGTAGAGAAAGGAGGTTGGACAGTGATGCTTTTTAAAGGACTATATCAAAGTAAAAGGGACCAGTAATCCTGCAACTTGGAAGCACAATAGGCCCAAGGAACTGGGGGATTCCTAGAGAACCAAACCAGTTGCAGGGAACATGCAGGCCCTACCTAACCCCCTTTGCCTTTCCCTAGTTGACTCCTCCTGACTCTTCTCCACTCATGGCTTAAGACTGCTCCACTTTCTAGAAACCTTCTCTGGTCCTCTCAGAATGGATTCATTGCAGGTCTCAAAGGATTGTTTGTCCTGGGCAGAACACTATCACAGCGACTACTCACATATATAAATCTGTGGCAGGCAGAATAATGCACACCCTTTACCCCCACAATATCCATGTTCTAATTACCAGTACCTGTTCAACATGTTACCTTATGTGGCAAAAGGAACTTGGCAGATGTGATTAAGGTTAAGGACCTTGAGATGGGGAGATGTTTCTATATTATCCAAGTTTAATCACATGTGTCCTTAGGAGTGGAGGGGAAATCAGAAGCAGGGGATGAGGGAGATGTTGCTGGCTTTGGAGGGTGAGGAGGAAAGCCAGGAGCCAAGAATGGCAGTGGCCTTGAGAAGCTGGAAATGGGTCTCAATTTACAGATAGCAAGAAAAGAGCCACCTCAGTCCTGCAACTGCAGAAAATGAATTCTGCCAACAACTCAAATTAGCAAGAAATGGCTCCTGTAGAGCCTCCAGAAAAGAACCCAGCCTGCATAATAAGCCCTTTTGAAAGGCAAGGAAGTCAAGCAAAGCCTATTCACTTCAATAAAGAAATTATGATTCTGGGTGGTTTGTGTGGTTCAAAGAAGTAGAGCACTGGCCCCATATATTAGAGGTGGCAGGTTCAAACCTGGCCCTGGCCAAAAGCTGGAAAAAAAAATATGTATATATATGTATATATGTATATATATGTATACATATATATATATGATCTTTTATTCACAATAGTACCTGGAATGTTCAGGGCATGTTTTATTGATTTTATGCTATGAATTAGGATATTAAATCCTTTCAGATTGATCCTCAATGTCTTCATTAATAGTATTGAGGCAATCTCTCATCCAGGTGCCTTGATAACCCATCTCCTAACTTCATCTTTTTTTAAATAAAATTTCCTTTATTTATTTAACTTTTAAATTATTATGGGTACAGAATAGGTATATGTATATATCTTTCTAGGGTACATGAAGTGAATTCCATAGGGTAATACAATGTGAATTAATCAAATGAGGGTAATTGGGATATCCATCATCTTGGTCATTTATCGTTTCTTTGTGATGGGAACATCCCAATTCCTGTTTTAGGTATTTTAAGGCATACCCTAACTTACTCTTGATTACACTCACTTTGTTGTGCTGTCAAATATTGTTCATTCTATCTACCTAACTATATTTTTGCACCCATTTTCTGCACGCCCACCTTCTCTTCCCTTTCCACTATACTTCCCAGCCTCTGGTAACCATCACTCTAATCTCTGTATCCGTGAGTCAATTGTTTTTAATATTTAGCTCCCACATGCAAGTGGGAACATGGAGAGATTGATGTGGAGATTTGTCTGTCCGTGCTTGGCTTATTTCACTTTACAGAATGCTCTCTAGTTCTACCCATGTTGTTACAGAGGCAGGAATTCATTTGCTTTTGCAGTGACACAGTATCTCCTTGTGTATATGTGCCACAATTTCTTTATCCATGGATCTGTTACGGACACATAGGTTGATTCCACATCGTGACTATTGTGAATTGTGTTGCAATGAAATGGGAATGCAGATTATCTTTTCAATACACCATATTCTCCAGCAGTGAGGTCTCTTGGTCATATGGTAGTTCCATTAACCTCATCTTTATTCGGGAACTGGATCCCACAATGGAAGCAAATTAAATATGGCCCACTTTAATTATAAGTAGATACAAGTTACACTACAACTGGATATATAATGTCAATCAGCCAGATGGAATCTTCAGTCAATGAATGGAGTATACGGTATGCCATCTAATGTTAAGCAAAGATCCCAAAGATACATGAGGAAAGATAAATGAATCATTTACTTTTTTGTCTTAACTACATATATAATTTATTTTATTTTTACCTTTTAGAAAAGATTGAAATTCTCTGCCTTTATCTTCACTGATTTTCCCTTCTAGGGAGGTGTAAGTGTTCCTTATCTCATTCACAGCCAAGGAAATGTTTTCAATCTTCTTCTGCAGAACGGTCAGTTTTGTCGCCTGGTGGTTCATCTGGTCAGTCATTTTTTGCATCACCGCTACATGTAGAAGGAAAGAATATTGGAACCATTAAACATACTTTTAAAACCACTGAAATTTCATGAGTTTAAAGGTAATTCGAGTAAACTATTTTTGCAATGATATATTTGAAAATAAACCATACTCACTTAGCAAATGGTAACTGAATGTTAAAGAGTTTTTTGGGTTTTTTTGTCAATCTCAAAGAGTTATTGTTATACTCTCAATAGATAAAGAAACAGAGGTTCATGAAGACTATGTTAACCAGTTGGATGAAAGTATTTCAAATTGTATACAGAAACAAAACAGTACACTGTATCCTATGATAGTATTAATGTACACTGCTATGATTTAATTAAAAAAAAAAAAGAAATAGAGGGTCAGAAAACCAAAATAACTTGTTTGAGGTTGCCCAGCTAATGGCTCATCTTTGGCTCCCAATACCAATGTCTCAACATTAAAGAAGTTCAGCTGTACACACACACATGGATGAGTGTATGCACATATGTATTTAGTCATAACTATGTTCTGAGAATTTTATGGTTTACTGAGGTATTCTTTAATAAGGGATAAGGACTCAGAATGTAGTTATAATTACTTTATACAGCGATGGTGCTCTCTATACTCACACATACATTGCAACAATCCAAGAATTTTATATGTTATAAAGTTATGGAATACCAATCTCTTGAAAAAATTATGATTCAAAGTATGATTTCCAAGGCATATTCACCTGCCTTCTTAAAGAAACCCCTCTAAGTCACATTCCTCAGTCTGAGGCTTGTTCTGTATGACTGGGTCTTGGCCAAACATAATGACTGGATGTTTGTAGCCGTAACCAACCTTAAATTTCCAAGGGCTAAAGTCTAATTGAAATGAAAAAGCATTTATGCACAGAAATATGAGAAATTATGTGACGTATTTGAAACAACGGGAGGATCTTGTTGGTTCTCAGTCACGATTCCTTTCCTCAGCCAGTGACCCACCCCCTTCAATGGAAGACTTTCTCAGGCCCTTAAAATGATGGAGTCTTTCCCTGTATGCCAAGATTTTCTGTGATCACCCTGCTTGGAGGAAAAAAGTCTGGTTTTCTTTTGGAAACCTGGGATCTCCTAACCATCTAGTGTCCCAGCATTTTTACTTCTCCTTCAGGGTTTGCAGACAGAGCTTCAGTAATTACACACAGACCTTTCAGCCCAGGAACAGACTGCTCATCCACGATTTCTCCCACCATCCAGCACTAGCAGGGAAGAATTGAGAGGGTACGCTAACGAGACAGTATCAAACGTTGGCCAGCCAAGAGATTTCTTGTTTGGAAATTGTAATAAATAGTGTTGACAATAATTGGGTTAGAGATGATAGTCATTATGATCTATGACCTGGGTCGCCGCAGTCTTGTGGCTGCCGTTGCTCCGCTGACCCTCTGCCAATAGCTGCGTGACTTTCCGCCTGGTCGGTGTGTATCAGTTGCTGCTGCTCCTGGCCTAGATGGGAGTAGAACGAGAAGGGAGAGAGTTAAGTGCTCTCTCGCACTGCCCTGTTTTTTCCAGTCCTGAGCAGTAACGTGGCTGACACTCATTTCCCTGTGGACTGAAGCGTGATGGCCTGGGAAGATTGCAGAGCGCGCTGCACCGCCCCAACCACAGGGCGAGGTCGCCCAGATTGGAGTGGGAAGGGCAGACTCTAATTCTGCCTGCAAAGAATAACATTCTTCAGGTCTCCTTTAGATGAAAATGGATGGCAGTGTAGGGGAGCTGTGTAAACTCGGGGATGTAAACCGCCTGCATAATTGAAAGGAAGTCAAAAATCTGCCGTGTCAAAAGCTATGGCGGCTTTGGAAACAGATTGCCACCAAGGCCGATTGTTTCATGAGGCAATTTCCAACTGAGGGTCTACTTGGAAATACGAGAGAGAGCTACACATTTCTTACTGGAAAAAAAAAACCAGCCATTTAATTAATTGTGCCACTGAAATGAGTTGCTCATGGGTTTTCAAAAAACACATGGTCTCTAAATGGAATAACAAGTAAAGGTCAACGATTACAGGCATATTTCAAGGGGATGGACATGTGAAGACAGTAAATTTCAGACCTATCAGGATTCATGTAAGATAAATCTACTCTATGAAAGAATGGCTTCCCATTTTCCATGAATCAAGTAATATGTTAAATGGCAAAATAGTTTTTCATGGGGCAAAATTAAAGGGAATTTTTTTTTAAATGTCGAATACATAGAATAATTTATGTCTGTCATTTACAGCCTTCTAATGAACAAATTTATCCACCAAAGCCTGCATTTCAGACATGAAGAAACAAGTGTTTGGTGTCTGGCTGTGCTTCTTCCCATGTGAAATTATGAACCAAGGAAACTCCATCTCTGGCACATGTTAATTATGGTCCCTGAGGCATGTGTGGCTATGATAATTACAATGAAGCTTCCCTACTCCAGAGAAAGTATAATATAGTTGAGTGAAGTCTGGGTTGGTCTGTATTGTTAGATTGAATTTTCTTCTATTTTTCAGGACATTGAGCTAAATTAAATTTTATTCCTGTCCAAGATTTTTTTTAATTCTGTTTCTTTTTCATTTCTTTTCTTTCACCGTAATATAAAAAGTCTTGAGTAATTCTTTTATTTATGTTGTGGACAAAAACAATCAAAACTTGGGAGAAAATACGACTGCTTGTGGATTGAAGAAGTGGGGGAAAGACATAACCTTCTGCTAAATCCTAGAAATAACGTCCTTATATACTGGGCATGGTGGCGTGTGCCTGTGGTCTCAGGCATTCATAAGGCGGAGGCCTCGCGTGAATGAGTCCAAGAGTTCAAGGTCAGCCTGAGTAACAACTAAAAAAAAGTATATTAAAAACTTAAAATTAAGACTCTTATAGCCTAGATTCAAATTAATTCATATAAATGCATCTATTAAGTAATTACATGAATTATTTTTATAATGATTCTTCCTTGGATGCCTTAAGAAAGCATTTTTTCCAGACAGTTTAAATGTAAATCTGTCCAAGTGTAACTAGAGAATCTAGCCATAATTCTCCAACTAGGGGCCCTGAATCAGCAATAATAGCATCACCTGAGAACCGTTGGTACTGTCACTTCTAGGGCCCCACCCCATAGCTACTAATTTAAACACTTATTAAATAAATTCTTAAGAAATTTAAGGAACTCTGGAGCAGGGCAGCAATCTGTGTGATTGCTGTGATAAGCCCATCAGGTGATTCTAATGCACACGAATGAAGTTTGAGAACCACTGGAATAAAGTGTCGAGATCAATCTTCCTTAGCAACGTCCCTCCTGACTATTGTCTCTGTTTCTCTGAGCAGTGGTGGAATGTTCAGGATTGAAATTTATAAACATTTATAGCAGTAAGAACAGGTGGATTTAACACAACGAATGATGGTCTTTCCCCCATTACCTTTCTGACTAGATCCTAGGGACAAAATGGGTGGGCACATTTCAAAAGGGCACCTAACTTGGTAGTAGGGGACACTTTATTAGAAGGAAGTAAGGCATAATTAAAGCGAAAACAAAGATTGCACTGTGTGGGGGTACACAAAGGTACTTTTCAGGTTTCCTTTTCTATTATTCATTTTTAGCACATCATTTTTTTTTTTTACATCCCTTTAGAACTTCTAACCCCTAGGCCTCAGACTGGTATCAGTCTAGCCTATTAGGAACCAAAGCACCACCGCCTGGGCTGCTTCTCCTGTTCACGCCCATCCCCCCACCCCCACCTGTGGGAAAATGATCTTCCATGAAACCAGTCTCTGGTGCAACAAAGGGTGGAAACCCCTGCACTTCAATACTTTTTCGGCATGGATGGGAGTCAAAAGTTCCCGTGTTCTTTCTGTTCCTCCACCTGAGACTCTGACTCAGTAAATCTGTTATAGGAATCAGATTCTTATGTATTTTTTTAAAACCCTACAGGTGATTTTTGATGTATGGCCCTGGATGGAAACACTAACTCAGAACAAACTGCCACATTTTCTAATTTTAATAGGTAAATTCATTGTTTTGAGGCAGAATATACCGGGTATTTTCATATTAAAATTGCAATCCAGAAATCAGTGTTCACGGATTTTCAGACAATATGCCTGTTGATAACGCGGGCCTATGTTCAAAACATGATTTGTTAAAAGTCAATCCAATGACAACCTCGAGTATCCATCACTGCATAGTGAAGTGGACCATCGTGAAGAGCTAGCGAAGTGTGGAGGGAGAGGAAGGTGCTTTCCACGGCTTCCAAGGTCACTCACGAAGATAGTGCTGTTCCCTGACACAACACAGATCCTCAAGAATGCCACTGAGCATGGGAACAGTCCTCTTCATTCATTCTTTACAAAGTGTTACGAGTTGTGGAAGGGAGAATATAACCTTAGGTTTCATTCAGCACCAGTCAAGCAAGGGGAAGCAAGGAGTCTCGAACCCACACACACACACACACACACACACACACACAGGAGACTGTGGGGAGCATTTTAACTCTCCTAGAATCCCAAGAGTGGGGCAGTTTGTCAGGCCACAGTTGTCCCTTGTGCTATCCAGTTCAGTCAAGGCTCTGTGTGCTTAAGAAATAAAAACAAACCTTGGTGAGAGGTCAAGTGCCAAGAATAGAAAGTAATCTTATGAAGACGATCAAAGGTTTATTTTCTACTGATTCTAGGGTGAAAAAAATTTCAGACATACAGGGTGGCCATAAAGTTCATGTGCAAATTAACAGCTATTTAAATTACACACAAATTTTATGGTCACCCTCTATGTTATTCATGGGATCTGGAAAAAAGGCTATTGCATTCTAAACAAGGGAATAGAAAGGGATATGCAGGAGAGGGTCAGTAGATTCAAAGAGAAACTGTGATCAGTGGGAGAGGAGAGAGCAAAAAAAGCTGTCAGAAGGAAAAAAAGAAAGCAAGTGAAAGAGATAAAAAATCATACAAGAGCATCAAGCGAAAGTGTAGTTTTCTTGAACATTGTAAGCTTTGATGAGTCACTCCTCATAATGTGAAAATATGATTATATATGCAATGAGAAAAGTTAAACTTTCTTCATATATTTGTGGAATTCTAAAAAGACTTATTTGAAAGAAAATATAATCGTATAATAGTTTGTTATTTATGCCAAAAACTAACGCAATTTCACATGTGTGCACATACATACACATAAAGCTTACTGTTCCCTCGTAGCCATAGTTATTGTTAAATTAATTGTTTACAGCAACGAGGTGAGAAAACTGTACTCCTCAATGAAAAAAACTGTTAAGCATCACGCAAAGATCCCTGAGATCCAGTTGTCACAGGAATCTCTTTGCTCTGGAGTTCATTGGATGGAGTCCCTGCCAAGGCTATTAAAAACTTAAAATGTCTGTTTCACAAATTCAGTAGGTTATGTTGTGTTTCCCTAGCTCTGTTTGTGGACTGAAGTTCAATACTTGCATTCATCCCAACTTACTGCATGGGATCTGACCAGACACAGCTGAGAGATGATTGGCTCTCTGACAATAGAGTCAGTTACTTTCTTGAGCTAAACAGCCTCGCTGATCGATGCTCTTTAGTTTCTACCGTTTAGAAATCTTTCTGTCTCCCCAAATGCAGTCTCTACCACAAGTACTGCACAGATTCTAGATTTTCTAAGCAAACTGTCTTCTCTCTCACTTAAACACAGACCTTTGTTTTGTTCTGTAGACAGAATCTAACTCTCTTCTCCTTGGTGTCTTCTAAGCAACAGCTGCAGAAACAGAAGGGCATTTGAGTCAGCTAAATTTTAAAGATCTTTGTGACTTCAGATTTTTAAAAAATGCAATATGTTTTAAAAATTGGATTGTTTTCTTTTCTCTCAACACACTTACTCTTTTTTCCCCTGCAATGGAAACTCTGACCGAGGTGGACCTAGGACTTAAGAGAAGCAAAGTCGGCAAGGTTCAAGTGTAAAAACAGCAGCTTCCTTAGTATATGATTTCTTTTTTTTTTTTTTTAATTAGACTGGTTTTATTTCCAAGGTTTTTTTGTTTTGTTTTGTTTCGTTTTCCTTCCAGGACTTGGAGCCATATGGAGGAAGTCATTAATGGCAATTCAGTAATGAAGAAGCTTGCTCTCTCCCCCTGAAGACCAGGCAGGCTTCCTGTGTCGCTGGAGAAGACAGATTTCTAGCTGATCTTGCAACGTCAAGTAAATACTTGCATAGAGAATGTTCGGTGTACATATAAAGATTTACAAGGATTCATTAGTTGAATTGAAGTAGACAGTTTCATGCCACAAAGACTTAAAATACACAACATTCTCTAAGTAAATGTATCTTAATTTTGTGCAAGACGTTTACAGGAGGTAATGTTCTTTCTCAGAGAGGATAGCATCAGCCACGACTGAGAATAACTAGATATGCAAAAATACAGGCAATTGAGATTATTCCTCTTTTAAGTACTACGAAATTTTTACTCATTTTATTTGGAATACATTTTAAAATACTACTGCTGTGTTGGG